AATAAAGATAGTCAGTAATTAAATTATCTTTTTTCATTTGTAATAAAGTTCTGTTTAATTGTTTTTCGCGTGTGTTTGTTGGGTTATTTGGGATGGCTCTGAATTTCTTTTTATCGGAAAGGATGTCGTTCATTTGAATTATTCATGATGACAGTGGTGTTACCGTTGTCAGCTTTTAGAGTTTTAATGTTAGTATCATTTTTCAGATTATAAATGGATTTGATCTCGTTACTTGTGAGGTTAATTTTCAGTTTACGGTATTGGTTGACTGTATTAACAGTCTTGTTTGAGAATTCTTTGAAAAAGTTATTTAAAATACAGTTTTTGGGAACTTCGGGAAACCACATTTTGTTGTAGTTACCTGTGATAACTACATATATACTATATATATGTACTATATATATAATTAGTAAAAAGTCGGATCGGAGTCTTGTGCCCTGTAACAGTTAAAAGTATAAGAAATTCATCATTTAATGTGATAATGTGTTTTTTGAAAAGTATTTTAGCTGAACATTTAATGGAATTTATTATATATTAAAAAGTTTGTTCAAAAACGTTGAAAGTTTAAACTTTGTTTGGGATTTTTATTTTTGTACATTCTAGAGTATTGTTAAAAAGAATTACTAAAATAAATATTCCTGTGAAACATGCATTTTTTAAGAGTGTATAAAGATTTGACTCACTAATCTAACAAAACAAATTACATCTTCATAGTCAAAGTTCAAGTACTGCATCCTTGACAAGTTGATTTAAAAATACAACATTTTCAGTTATTTTTAGCAGCTGCACACTTCTAGTGAAAAAGCTTTAATTTAACATTAGAACTATTGAGATTGGCTAAGCCACAGTAATAGTAGTTATTGACAAGTGCTCACAAACTTGAAATCAGACATTTCTAAGTAAGGAAATGTTAATCGGCAAACTGAAAATCTAATGCCTGTAAAATAGTAACATCTGTATACTATAATATACACGTGTTGATATATATATCTTTCTAGCTTCTGTATTTTTTAATTGAGAAAATGACTATAAGTCTTTCAAATCTGAATACATCTAAAACAAAATTGCAAACAAGGTTTAATTACAAAATTATTCATCTGATCCGACAT